TGCATTATTCACAAGTAATATATCTGTAAATTAGTCAATAACCTTGTAAAATTCCAGTAACATGACAAATATTGTATGAATGTATAAAGATTACAAATACTCTAGTCATTTTAACAAGAATATTTTGGAATAGTAAAGGCTTTACTGAAATGTGTCTGTAATAAAAAGTATTATCACGAGTAATGGAATTTCTCAATTTCCAAACATTTTATGCATCAGTTTCCAAGAGATAAAATACCGATGGACACATCAAATGTGTCTCTTAAGTAAAATAGGAATCATAATTGTGAAGGTATGTCACTTGCACATTCCATGATACAGCATAGTGCAATGTGTGGTGAAACTTGGCCTTAGTTAGAATTATTATTCCTTGACAAATGGAATTATTAAAGGAACACTAGAGAGTCAGGAACACAAACATCTATTCCTGACCCTATAGTGTTAAAACCCCCATCTAGACCCCCTGGCCCTACTAAATAGAGCATAATCGTACCTTAGTTGCAGTCTGCTGCTGCTGGCTCTGCCTCTGATCTGCCTGCTTGGCTGACATCATCAGAAGAGGTGGTCTGAGCCAATCACTATGCTTTCACATAGGAAAGCATTGGATTGGCTGAGACTGTCAAGAAGGCAAATCAGAGGCAGAGCCAGCACAAACCAAACACAGCCCTGGCCAATCAGCATATTCTCATAGAGATGTGTTAAATGGAGAAGATGGAGACACTGAATGGCAGTGCTGCACCTCTAGTAGCCATCCGAAGAGTGGCCAGTGGCTGTAATGCAAACACTGCCTTTTCTCTGAAAAGACAGTGTTTATGGCAAAAAGCCTGAAGGGAATGATCCTGCTCACCAGAACAAATACAATATTATATACTTCATATGAGATTTAGAAGACAAGCTCAAAAAACTGACATCAAACAGGCATTTGCACCAGTCTTCTTACAAGTCACAAAGGAAAGCGTGAACCATTTTCTAAAAGAGATATTACAGAAACCTTGGAGATGGACAAACTTCTAATCCCCCTTGACCAATAAAAGCTAATAATATTAATAATAGCTGAAGGGAATATTCACAACATCACCTTGTCAGCACTACAAGATGTGTTTTCTTACAAGACAATATCAAGAACAGACAGAGAAGAAGCACCATGAGGATCAGAGGCCCTTTCGAAAGTGTCTCTCAAGAGTACTCAGCAATCAACTTTGCGTATCATACTCCGTCATGGACTTTCAGATGGTCCAGATCTGTAGGGCCTTGATGCCCATACAATTTACACAACTTCTTCATAGGATGTTATAGTGAAATACACAACTTCCACATTAAAGTGGAATAGCTTAATGAAGCAGTTTTGGTGTATAGATCACGCCCCTGCAGTATCACTGCTCAACTTTCTGCCATTTAAAAGTTAAATGACTTTTTTAAGATTAAATCACTTTTGTTTCTGTTTATGTAGCCCTAACTACTCCTCCCATACCTGTGATTTTCACAGCCTCTATAGTAGAAGAAAAAAAAAGTTTCATTTTTACAGCACAGTGTGTTTACTTTAGAATTCATCCTACCCTGTTATTTGAACTTTAGTCACATGCAGTGGCTGGCAATTTACTGAGCAGGAGCTACAACATTCCAAATTAAACACAATGTGCGATAAGGAAAACTAAAAAATATTTTGAAAAGGCTATTTTTCGAAAAGTGTGTAGGAAGGCTGTTTGAGTCACAGCCAGGGAAGGTTTGACTAGGGCTGCATAAACATATTGACATACTTGAAAACAAGAGAAATCTCAATGTATCCTTCCTGATAAAAATATTTTATAAATAAATAAATAAATGTAACTCCTTAACCCCTTAAGGACAGAGCTTCAGAAGCTTGTCTTTCACTTAATGACAACAGCATTTTTTTCATTTTTTGCTGTTTGCGTTCAACTGCAATTTGCATTTTACTAATTTATTGCACCGACACATACTATATATCGGTTTTTTTTAAAGGACAGAATGGGCTTTAATTTGATGTAACGCACATATATATAAATGCTTATTTAGTATAAAAAAATACAGAAAAATGCAAAACAAATGAAAATTTTTGTGTTTTTTTTTACAGCTTTTGCAATAATAATGTGTGCATAATTAGTGCAGATTAAGGAAAGTAATTAAAAATAAATTCATTTAGTTCTTCTGATTTACAGGATATATAATGTGTCTGGGATTTTAAGTTTTTTTTGGTAGTTACAGGTCACAAAGCACTAGGAGTAAAATAAACTTTTAATGTGGAGTGATTTTAGAATTTGGTATGTTTGTCTTGTAAGCTTAATAGCCATAAAAGAAAACAAAATTGCCACACAAAAGTATATATTTATATAAAGTAGACATCACAGGCTATTTACCTAGGGTTGTTTTGACACTTTCTACGTAGCCATTTCACCGCCAACCTCTGCTAAATATTAAAGTAAAATTGTGTTTTTTTTTGGTTTTTGGCACACAAACTTATAACAAAGAAATTCTCATGTGTATTTTGTAAAGATGGTTTGTGCTATTCCTGCACAAAGTTTTATTTTGTGCTCAGTTACATCTTCTGAGTAAAATGACACCCCCATTGTATGTCTTTGGCACTATTTTGTGAAGTTACAGTGCCATATAGGAGGCCTGTTCTTTTCAATATTCACAGAATTTTGAGAGATGGATTTAATATGCCTATGCTCCCATTAGGGGTATTATAACAGTTTGACTGTTCAAAAAAGCCCACAAAGGCCTACCATTTGTAAAAGTAGACACTCCAGGGCATCTCATAAGGTGCATATTGTGCCTTAACATGCCCCCATTTTTTCACCAATATATGCCAAAGTATGTGGTAAAAAATAATTTTGTGCGTTTTTTTACACATGGATTGCATTTTTGCTGGGCATTTTGTATATTTCACATGTGCCACTAAGTTCAAACCCCCCAAATTATGCTTGGCTAAGTCTTCTGAGTAAAAAGACACCCCCAATGAATGTCTTTGGCACTATTTCGTGAAGCTACGGTGCCATATAGGAGACCAAGCCATATCAGTTTTTACCGAACTTTGAATTTTGACGCTGGGCCTATGTGCAATTTCCAAGCATCTTAGCAGGGTTTAAATTCAAACTACCCCACAAAGGCCTACCATTTCTTAAAGTAGACACCCCAGGGTATTTCAAAAGGTATATTCTCATTTGTGGGCTACCATACGGTTTCAAAGGCAACATAACCAATCTGGCGAATTTTTATGTAAAAAAATGGAAATGCAAGTCATATATTACACTCTGTAACTTTTGAAAACACCATAAAACCTGTACATGGTGGGTACTGTTATACTCAAGAGACTTCGCTGAACACAAATATTAGTGTTTCCAAACATTACAACTTAACACAACAATTATATCATCAGTGAAAGTGCCGATTGTGTGTGAAAAATGCAAAAAAATGCACTTTCACAGACAATATCATTGTTTTGATATGTTTTACAGTTTTGAAACACTATTATTTGTGTTCAGCGAAGTCTCCTGAGTAAATCAGTACCCCCTATGTACAGGTTTTATGGTGTCTTGGAAAGTTATAGGGTTAAATATAGGGCTTGCAAACCATATTCACTGGACTTTCTGCCTTGATTGTCAGGCAAGTCCCTCAAATAGTAATTAATGAAATTACTTAATCATGTGAAAATATTATAAATATATATGTAAAATTTAAATATACATGTATCTATCTATGTAATATAGATAGATACATATATGTATTTATAACATCATTCTAAATGTATTTTGATTTAAATATATATGTATATTAATATCAAAATACAGTTAGAGTAAAAGTATACAGGTATATAATTTTTTTAAATGTTATTTTATTATTTATTTTATTTATTTATTTTTTTCTTATTGATTATTTTTATTTTACATAGATATATATATATATATATATATATATATATATAATTATATATTTATATATTTAACATCATTGTAAGTGTATTTTGATATTAATAGATATAGATATATTTATATCAAAATACACTTAGAATAATAGTTGATGTGTGTGTATGTGCATATGAAAGTACTTAGATCATATACATATACATGTATATATATGATCTAAGTATTTTAATTAACTTTATTAAACTTTTTTAAATTTTTACTAACTTTTAAAACGTTTTTACAGGCAGCAGAGGGACAGCCTGAGAGCTCAGGCAGTTCCCCTGCTGGCACTGCATGAGCCAGCTATTCCAGCCATGTGATCGCAGGGACCCCACGATCACATGGCCCTGAAGGACCGGTTTGTGCAGAAGGGGGCTGCCTGGGCTTCCAGGCAGCCCTGCGGATCGCGAACGCCGACGTGGGATCGGCGGGGACCTGTAAGTTGGTTTGGACAGTATTAGATTGAATTGGATAAATAAAGGGTTTGTAGAGATAGAGCTTTTAATTAATCGAAATTGGTGTAGGCCAAGAGTAATAATGTAGGTGTAGGCTGCAAAGAGGTTTGTGGGTAAAGAAAGACTGGGTTGGGAGAGCATGTATCGAAGAATTGAGTTTGGGTAGGAATTAATATTTAACATTAGCATTTTCTTGGTTTTGTGCCTATAAACATACTCACTATTCTGATAGAGTATAGGTCTGATATTCAGTTATAAATCTGTATATCAATAGTTCATGGTCTGGGACCCCCCGGGGCTTGCCCCCAAGCCCACCCACAGACAATATCCGAGTCCGCCCACATGGCCGCCACGTATCCGCCCACAGGATTGTGGTGTATGTATAGTGGATGTAGAATGTGTGTAGTGGATGCAGAGTGCATGTGTAAAGTGGATGTGGTGTGTGTGTGTAATGGATGCAGTGTGCATAGTGGATGCAGATTGTACATTTGTGTAATGTGTGAGGTGTATATTAGATGCAGAGTGTGTGTTTGCGTAGTAGATGTAGTGTTTGTGTATATAGTGAATGCAGAGTGTGTGTTTGTTTGTGTAGTGGATGTAGTGTTTGTGTGTATTAGATGCAGTATGTATAGTGCATGAAGAGTGTGTTTGTGTAGTGGATGTAGTGTGTGTTTGCGTAGTGAAGGAAGAGTTTGTTTGTGTAGTGAAGGCAGAGTGTGTTTCTGTAGTGAAGGCAGAGTGTGTTTGTGTAGTGGATGTAGTGTGTGTATAGTGAATGCTGAGTGTGTATAGTGATGGCTGTTTGTGTGTATTAGATGCAGTGTGTATAGTGAATGTGGAGTGTGTGTTTGTGTAGTGCATGTAGTGTGTGTATAGTGGATGTAGTGTGTATATAATGAATGCATAGTGTGTGTGTATAGTTGATGTAGTGTGCGTTTGTCTAGTGTGTGTATACTGAATGCAGAGTGTGTTTGTGTGGTGTGTGTATAGTGAATGCAGTGTGTGTTTGTGTGGTGTGTGTAGTGAATGCTGCTAGGAAAGGAAGTGCAAATGGGCCCCTCTGCAGAGTCCAGCGGCTGGCTGCAAACACCATGCCACCGAACCACCAGGTAAAGCCCCCTCTGCAACGAAGGTAGCTGTGTGCCTTCGGGTACACATAAATATAGCGAAAATATTGTGGGGCCCTGAACTTCACTAGCAGACCGGCCCACCCACCATGACCACCGGGCCCATGCCCTGACGGCGGCCCAGGTTGCAGAATTCATTGAAAACATTTCCTAAAAAAAAAGTGCTACATACCACAATCAGGGCTTTCCGTGTGTAGTCCATCAGAATGCAGAACTGTCCAGTAAAACATGTTGGTTCCGGCTAACCTACTCTGTCTACTCAAAGGTTTTTTAAAAATATTTAAAAAAATAGTCTTCACTTCTTATGCTTTTGATCTAGAAATCCTGGCCTGTCTCCCTGCAATTATGTTATTAATAAAAATGTTATTCAAAATGCCCCAAAGGTTTTGTACAAATAATTTATTTAGTTAAGTTAAATTCACATACCAAAGCATTCCTTTATCTATTTGAAGTACAATATATTCCAAATATGCTTCTTTTTGTATTTGTGTCCTCTAGGTATAATGATCAAATTCTTTGTCTTCCAAAATATGACACAGTATGCATGCTTTGGCTAAGAATGCAGACTCCTTTAGAACTGGTTATAATTCTATTTTAAAATAATTTTAAGATAAGCTTAGGGGGACATAGAAATCAGTGGTGTGATCTGTATAGTGCTCTTTTTTGCAGATGAAGACAGTCCTCAGGTTGCATGTATGAATTGCAGATCTATCATACAAAGATGGAAAGTCAACAGGGTTATTCAATAAAGTGAAAATTATTGGGAATTCAGAGTGATTTAAAATTGAAGGTAAATTTGAAGTCAAAACAGCCGAACTGGAAACATTCATCCGCCTCTGTTTAACGCCTAACTCAGCTAAGGTGCTGGTCCATGCCGTTGTTCTCTCTCGGCTTGACTACTGCAATCCCCTTCTCAGTGGTGTTACGTTTTCCCAGCTTGCACAGTTGCAATCTATAATGAATGCGGCGGTCGAGGCTCATCTTCCTGTCCGCCCCCACCTCCCACGCCTCCCCCCTCTGTCAGTCCCTACATTGGCTTCCCATAAGATATAAGGCTCAATTTAAAATTCTGGTGCATGCTTACAAGTCCCTACAAAATGCTGCTCCAACCTACCTATTCTCCCTAATACACAAGCGTGTCCCATCTAGGCCCCTGCGCTCTGCTGAAGACCTACGTCTATCCTCTGTCCGTACTCCCACATCTGATGCTCGCCTCCAAGACTTCTCCAGGGCTGCACCTTTTCTGTGGAACTCCCGTCCATTATCCATTAGACTTTCACCCAGTCTCCATTCCTCAAAAGAAATGATTGAAAACTGACTTCTTCAGGAAAGGGTACCACTTTTTAAACTGCAGCTTTTTATCCCCACACTCTGACTCCGCTCCTGCAACTGTCAAAAACAACCTAAGCCCTCAGTGAATACTTTACTAGCAACCTACTTCGATACAGTGGCGGATCCAGAGCCTGATCTCGGGAGGGGCACTTGTAGATTATTTAAAGAAATAATCCAGACACAATAACTACTACAGCTCAGTGTAGTGGTTATGGTGTCAATAGTGCCGGGACCCCCTCCTAGAGTAAGTAGTCAAACCGTTTAAGAACAGTTTGACAACTTACCTGAGGTCTGCTGGGAAATGGGGCGGTAGTAGGGCATAGGAGCAGTGGTGTGTGTGTGGTGCAATGTGTAAGGGGTGCAGTGTGTGTGTGTGTGTGTGAGGGGGACAGTGTGTGAGCAGTGTGTGTGTGTGTGTGTGAAGGTTGTAGTGTGTGAGTAGGGGGGGCAGTGTATGTCAGGGATGCAGTGTATGTGTGGGACAGTATGTGTGTGTAACAGTTGCAGTGTGTGTGTGAATGTGGGCAATGTGTGTGTATGGGGCGGCAGTGTATGGGGGCAGTGTGTGTGTATGCGGGGCAGTATGTGTGTATGAGGGCAGTATGTGTATGGGGGCAGTATGTGTGTATGGGGGGCAGCATGGGGGCAGTATGTGTATGGGGGGGGCAGCATGGGGGCAGCATGTGTATGGGGGGGCAGTATGGGGGCTATGTGTGTGTGTGTTAAGGGTAGGGGGGGCTTTTTTAAATAATATATATCTTTATTTAATTAAAAAAAAAAAAATATTCTATGTCCCCCCTCCCTTCTTACCTTTATTGAGGAGGAGGGGGGACATATTTTCATCCCTGGTGGTCCCAGTGGTGATTCCCTGGTGGTCCCAGTGGTTACAGTGAACTCTAGCCCGTGGTTCCCGGGCTAGAGTTCACTCTCGTGAGAGAGCGTTGGAGCCGCGGCAACGCTCCAAATCTCGCGAGAGGAGGACCCGGAGGAGCTGCAGACTGAGCTCCCGGGTCCTCCCTCTCCCTCCCCTGCCGGCTGTCAGCAATGTGCCTGCGGACCGGGGAGGGAGATCTCCGATCTCCCCTCCGGTCCGCAGGCACATTGCAGGGCTAGCACCTGCATGTGCTGCTGGCAGGGGAGGGAGACCGGCGGATTTCTCGGGGGGGGGCAATTGCCCCGTTGCCCCCCCCCTGGATCCGCCAGTGCTTCGATACCCCTAATTTTATAATTTTTGTCAATGTAGCCCACTCCCGCTAGCATGTAAACTCAATGAGCAAGGCCCCCAACTCCTCTGTTCCTGTGCGTCCAACTTGTCTGGTTACAATTACGTGTCAGTTAGTCCACCCATTGTACAGCGCTATGGAATTTGCTGACGCTATATAAATAATAAAATAATAATAATAATAATTAGTCAATTCCAGATAAACTATCTTGACCTTAGGTTTGAGATTCACTTGGAATTTACTTTAAAATCCTGGAAATTCTCATTTTAGTGAAAAACCCTGTAAGTGTTAATCAATCAGGAATGCAGCAATCTATCAATTCTATCCACAGTAGGGTGGTATTCCTCATGTACTACCCTTCCATGTAAATGTCAAGGAAAATATGGTAGATAGCCAACATTTTTTTTTGTTCTCTATTGAATGCACCTAATTTATTCAATAGAGAAAGATTTTATCTATTTGAACTAAATTATTATAAATTTTATAAATTAGTTCTCAAGGCACCAAAACTAACCGTTGAGTGAATGAGCCCATTTGTGTTTGAGAAACTGTTAGAACCTTACGGGCACAGAACATCCAATAAGGATAACAGGCAACAACAACATTATTATAGAAGGGGAAAAAATCCCAGAGCTCTAAGGAAACCTCCTCTTCACGTCCAGTTGTAAATCTTGATTAAATAGCTTGCAGGTGTCAGGATTAAAGTATATTCATTGTGAACGTAAGCTAGCACCAGCTGGGCTGCTCATTTGCCAGTTGTAGTTGCTTCTTTGTTTTGAAACTGTTGACAGTACAACTAAAAATATTCCTTTGGGAGCAGACTAAGTTAAATAACCAGCAGGACGAGTAAAAGAACAGCTGCAGCTATTTCTCTGTGTTTACCATACCTGCCTTTTTGATTTATAGCGCACTTCTTTCATATAATGTACATTCCATAATCCAAAACATTTTTATTTTTTTGTATGCATGGTTGTGATAAAATCCCCAAGTACAGGGTAAGAACATGACAGGAGCTAGCAAACAAAACAGATTTAAATACTAACTCTATATGCAGCAAAATTTTATAGTAACGCTGCCAGGGAGACTTCTGGGATGGCAACCCAAGATGGCTAACTGCAGTTTGTTCTCCCGAGGGAGATGATGCATTTTTTAGAATCAGTTTGTCACAGACTGGAGCATTATCTGAACTCTGCAAGCTTTCAGTGGATGTCAGTATATCGCTACTTCATATAGTCCATCCCAAGAATCCTACCTATACATGTATTCACAAAGAATCCTGTGTTTTTATGAATTTTATTAAATTTTTGGTGCCACATTAGATGCTCCCTGCTGCGACACTAAAAGAGTTAATTATATTGGCATAGCATAGCTTAGCGAGACTTTAAGCCTGGCCTCACTAGGTATAGCATTTGCTTCGGTAAATTTGTTGGGTTTTTTGAGCCTGTGAAACCTCAATCCCATTTAGTAAATAGCAAATGGTCTTGTGGTTTCTATGGTTTTATCTTAGTATGGAATAAAATAAAACCAGTTGGAAGAAAACGCCAGTTGTGGTTGCAGCCTTGAAAGAACCACATAAAGCTGCAACTAAAATTAACCTGTGTCTGTCTTACTTGTAGGATCCAGACTCGACTGTATTGGAAGATATGCGGGTTCAACGTGAGCTCGGGCCAGATGAGACTATTAAAGAGACACTCTAAGCATCAGAACCACTACAGCCTAAAGAAGTAGTTCTGGTGCAGAGACTGTCCCTGCAGCCCCAACAATGTAAACATGTTTCCAGTGGCTATCACTCAGTGACTCTCTCTATGAGAAGATACTGATTGGCGCAGCTCAGAGATTGACGTGCATGCAAGCTAGTCCTTTAATAATTCCTTATGGGGAAGCATTTCATTGGTCAAGAACACCAGTAACGCGGACGGGCGGCCATGATGAGACCAGTGCAGCGAAGGAAGAAAGGTGCGTCAGTCTTCTTTATACAAGCTAGAGTGTTTTCATTTAGTGCTCCTTTAGCACAATCTTGATGCGTTAATGTGATACAAGATGCATATCTGTATGTTTTTAAGTATATAAAAAACACTAAAGAAAGAATTACTTTGCTGCTACTGTTGCAGTTAGTATGTTAATCCCAGTTCACTGTTTAGGTGCAGCCAATTGCATACAACCACTATAAAATACACACACCGGTTGATTGAGCTCCCACTTTTATTTAAGTATTCATTATTCTGGAGTTTGGATCATTGGTGGCAGCATACACCTTGTTAAATTTAGAGCTTTAATTATTATTCCAATCACCACTCATTTTATTGCATCACTCCTGATAAATTATCATTGTTGTTGATTATAGGTACCTCAACAAATTTATGACAGAGACGACTCATGAAGACTCCATGAAGACAAAGTTGTAGATTGGAAGCTTGGTGAAAAGGGTCCTCATCAGCCAATCGTTACTGTTAAAATTTGTAATAATTTGTTTCATTTGTTGTTAAATTCCCTCTAATAATATTATAAAGCACTGCTAAATAACTTGGTACCATATAAATGAAATAATAATAATAATCTTTCTACCACTTGTCATATAGGTTTAAGATGTTATACTTTGTGGGTCTCTACAAAACTTGTGTGTTAATCGGTAGCATATAGCTACTTCTTTTCAAATATTTTTCGTTAAAGGTTTTATATTTTTACATTAATATATGCAATACTTTTATAATGAATGTATAATGAATGAATATGAGGTACATACATGAAGTATACAAAAAGAGTCATAAAAAATATATATATTTTACAGTAACAACAATACAATTGCTCCATTATATCGTTATTTCATGTATAGTTAACAATGAATCTTTTTATAACTACTTCTGTTACTGCAGAATATTCTGCTTTGCAAATTGTTCCCAGTCCAAGTTGAGCTGAAATCTCAACACACAAAGATTTGTTTTTTTTCATTTTATATAATAGCCAACACAAACAACCCATTTTGTGTGATCGCACTAATCTAATGGAACTGGGCCTTCATCAAATTATAGATTGTTTGTCACTGTCTGTCTTATGGACTGTTGACTGGACACTGTCATATTGTGGTGTAGAAACAGATAGACAAACAGACACAATAGCCAAACACACAAAGACCAGTGAGAGAGAGACAGAGAGAAAGACACACACATACAAAAGTTGACTTGTGAACCTGATAACAAAGGAACTGAATTAACTGCAGTTATTTGGTTATACACGTGCTTAATGCAAAGGCTATTTACATGAATTATTCCCTACTTTCTGGCACAGTGTCATTAACATTATGGCTTTTAAACATATGTTGAATTATGACACAAATTTTAAAAAATCCCAGAGACATTTTATTGCATATCCACTACATTCTGCTAAATGGGTTTGTGCTTTTGACATGGAAACCCAAGGGAAGAATAAACATCAATTATTGAAAAAATGTATTGCATTCAATAGCGTAGTTTGACACTCATAAATTAAGCAATGGTATTATGTAGATCACAAATTGATACTCTGCAGTTTTACTTAAAAGTCTAGTAAACAATAACACCTGCCTGATTAGAAATGTTGTTATATGAAAAATATAAGTAATGCATTATTCAGCTTCAATTATTGGGAACCTGTTAAAGATATTCACTAAGCACTGACTTGCAATGACCTGAAAGACGAACCACAAAATATAGTATAAAGTAGCCAAGCTGTTACTCAGTTGGAGACGAGTTTGAGATTTTTTTTCAATTCAGCACATTTTGTTTAATTTTTGTAATTTTGATTTTAACTCATTGCTCTTCACTGTTTACAAGCGGAGTTCTTGAAAGAATTGGATAATATTTGATGTCATGTTCTACTCACTATATAATCTTTAATATGCCTAATCTACCTCGTGCATCTACCCGAAATCCTTTAAACTTTTTTTTTTTAATTCTTCTGATTCTGAACAAATATATGACTGGCTGTTTTCTTACATAGCAACTGAAGCTTCGATGCACATATTTCCAAAATATCTCTGATACTTAATGTACCCATTATTATGTACCCATTAGTGTCCTGTTTCAAATAAACTTGTACTATGCTTGTAGTTTGAATATATGTTTCCATACCACGTCTTTTATTTGTGGGAGCATTTATTAAAAACAAATAATGTGCATTACATTGTAAGTTTGACTTTATCTGCTAGCTGCCATGGGTCATTTTTTATCTCTTTAATAATTAAGGAATTTTTTTGTGTCGGTTTATAACATGCACTTTGACGATGACCAACTATATAATCTAACCAGTTTCTGGGCTACTTGTTTAATTTGTTGGAATCTTTATTTGTTTCTATTTCTACCCCATTTTCTTCATGCGTTTCCGTAAGAATGAATTTATTAAATTCTTAGTTTAGTTAGTTTCATCTGTTCTAGAATGGCTTGAATTGGTTTACTAAATTTTTAGGAAGGAAAGAAAATGGTCATTGATTTGGTAAAAACAAAAAGGGACACATTGTAAACTGCAAAACTCCAATGTCCATATGGTTTCATTGTTTTGCTAGACAGTGGTTTTGACTTATCACTTTCCATCAAAGAGGTTTTTTTTCTAAGAAGCTTTCAGCTACACGATTTATTGGCAGCTAATGGATCCAGTAGGCTTGTAATAGGAATTGCTGAAATGAGACTCAGATTCAGACATTGCATATAGACAGAGTATAGATTTTCCAACTTTACTTGATGCTAATTTTTATGAGCACAGAAACAAAGCATTTAAATCACTTTGATCCACGTCCTAAAATCCATCTTATCATACATCTCATGGAGTCTTGATAGGTCTGGCGACACATGGCCAAGTATTTTAACCACATATACAAAATGACTGTATTTAAGAGGAAAATATATGGTACTCATTAGTGAGTTACGATGTTTGGCCTAAAATGATGTTCTAGACTTGTGCTAAAAATTTTGTGGCGTCAAATTATTTTTAATCCACACCCAAATGAATCTATTGAGTGAATAATTCTCCACAGGAGTGGAGGCTGGTCCAGAGGGGAAGGTGGGACTCCTATGGGCAAAAAAATAATAATAATGAAATCCATTGGACTACTGAAACGTGTCTGACAATGATTGTATCTACATGTTCCATTCTCCTCTTGATTGACAACTAAAGATAGGGTTAAATGGGTAACACTCAAAAAGTTAGGGGGCAGCACCACACTATCTTTAAGCTTCACTAGCTGCCACTGCACAACAGGTAAATCCCAGATGGATCAATTTGTTTGGGTGTTGATTAAAAGGATTTTGGTTCAGACAAACCACTCTAAACTATTTTATTTACTATAGTCTAGTACTAGTATTTGTCTACTATTTATATACTATATAGAATAAAAATTGGTTTTATTGCTCAATACTTATTAACATTGGGGAGAGGGAATTGAAAGAAATTCACCCCTACGTCATCTGCAAGCCATGTGGCACTTTGATCTCAGCATATCCCAGGGCATTGCTCTGTCAAACATAAATATATATAAATATATATATAAATTTTTTTTATATATATATATATATATATATATACTTTATTTTTGCGCGCAAAGAACAAGCAGTTACAAATGTGTCTGTAATGCCCCAACAGCATATACTCGCGTTTAAACAATAATCATTAAGTTTGCAGGCATGACATGGATATACATTGCACAATTTTTTATAATGACGTGGAGATTAGTCGAGCAAAAGTCATATTTGAAAACATGCAGGTATCGGTTAGAATGAGACATTAAACTAAGACATTCACCTTGAGCCACAAGAAACAGGAGCCTATGTGTACGTGTTCACTAAAAGTAGAGAGTGTAGAGGCAAACGTGCTGTGTACATGTTCATAGTGTTATGCAGGCGTTTGGAATAGGAGATACCCTCCATTCTATATGCGTGTATGAGAACATGTCTATAGTATGTGGATATGAAGGAAATCACCAACAGAAAAAAACAAACAACAATTAGGCTACGCTGAAAAAAAAAAGAAAGGCACATACAGAACATTAGGCAAAGCGTAAGTAGCATCTCTGAGCATGCCGAAAGCGGCTGGGTGTGTTAGATATGGCACCACGGCTTCAGGTGTGAGCTGGTGTGCTGCCTCTCCAGCAATCCGTTGTTCATCCGATGCCAGCACTTGGGAGACTGTGTGCTTGTTTGTCAGCAGGTTGCTCCGGCCCCTGCGGACAGTCTCTATCCAGACCAAGGTTGGTGTATGCAAGGTGGCCGGGTCTTCTGCGGGTTCCATGTCCCACCGCCCCCCACTGTCCTTGCCTGCCCCCCTCTTTTCGTGTATCTTTTGGGTAAGATTCTGGTGGATGCAGGTTACCCCCATTGGCTTTGTAGCGGAGGCTGTGCGAGACATGGTGGGGCTGTGGGGACCTCCTGTGCGGTAAAGTCTCTGCAGGGGAGATCTGCGATCTAGTCTACCTCCTGGTCACTTGGGTGGTCTCCTCCTCCGGCGCCTGGGTGTGTTACCATTCCACCTTGGAGGCCTAGGCAGGGACCGCTGTGCTGCAGGTGGTGAATGATGTGTCTGAGTCTCCCCTCTTTGCCTCTGCTCTAGGTTTCACCAGAAGGCCTCAAAGAGCAAGTCCATCCTCGCTAGGGTCAGTTCTGACAGGCCTCATGGTGCGGTGAGGTGCCTGGCATCCGCCATTTTGGTTCGGCCGGGAGAGTATGCTTAGTGCCGCCGCTGCCTGTGCTTGTGTCTGGTCACAGCTCCACCAGTGACGAGAAGCGTGGCTGAGGTGATGGGGCCAGGATAACCCCCACTGGCAGGGGGGGGGGGAAATGAGGTCTTGTGCTTCGTCAGCTAATCCTGGTCGGAGAGGCAATAGGGAGAACGGCCGCTTCTCCCAGGCTCTCACCTCCAGGTAGGCCTCAGTGGCTGTGTGGGTTCAAGCTGCTTGTTGGACTCCTGGAAACTCTTGGGCTGAAGCAGAGTAGCCTGCAGGTAAATATCCACGCATAGATTGCTGTTTGTTTGATTTGAAAATACTGCTTTTAGGAGTATTATGTCGAGTTTTTGTCAGAGCTCCTGCTGCATGCGGCCATTCAGTTTGGCAGCCAGGCCCCGCCCCCCTGTCAAACATAAATATAAAAAAACTAATTAAAAATATAATTTTAAAAAACAATTACCGTAACATTTTCAATTAATTATATTAGGGATTTTAAAATCACTAATATGTTATACACATCTTTTAATGTTCAGGCTCTTGTGGTATTCTTCTGTAAATATGTATGTATGATTATGTATTTACTCCAGCCTGTTCATTGATGGATACAATACATATGGTGAATGTAATGCTAAAAAATAATTTACAAAATACATTATCTCTCTAGTGGACAGAAGTCTCGTAATGAATGATTCTTGATTTGTTTTCTGTTTGGCTATAGAAAGAGGTTGCTAAGAGGACATATATTTTTTATCTGTGTTTTACAAATACGTTTCACGGTCAAGCAACAATCTGAACTTAAAATGTAGTGATCCCCTAAGGGTGTAAACTTTTATCATTTAATAATACAGTATGTAATCGTTCCCTCAACTAGCCAAAAAGGCACACCTCGTAACTCATCTCTTTGGATGTAGTATCAATTTGATTACATGGTTTGCTGAGTTTTCTCTAGCTAAACAAAATATATACCCCAAAACACAAAATGAATTCGCTTATGAAATTCCTTCATTTTATGATGTTTTGTATTATTTTGGAGGACTGCAGAGTTATTACGTCATGACTTAGATGGAAACTGGTAGTAAAAATAAATTAATGGAGGTAAAGTTACAGCTCCGATACACAGCCCCAATGCTATGCAGACAGGAATAACTGTAGTGGTTAAGATTGTAGTTTTGCCAAAATATTTGTAGAACCTTGTTACAAACTTAAAAGGTTGCTAAAGGCACCCAGACCACTTCATCTCAATGAAGTAGTCTGGGTGCCGTGGACCTATGGTTTTAATCCTGCAGTTTAAAACATTGCAGTTTAGTAGATATAACAATGTGATTGCAGTTTTAACACACCTCTGGTGGCTGTGTTGTTCCTGACCGCTGCTAGAGGTGCTTACCTTATACAAAGTCAATCAGACTTGGTTCTCAAAAAAATGCTGCTCATAGAGAGCATTTAATTGACACAGCTTGGCATTTCCACGAGTTTCGCACCGGTCTCACAATGCTTCCCTGGGAGGAGTGGCAGGACAGAAACCAGCACCGCAATTGAGTTAAGGTAGGTAAATCACTTTACTTGTTTAAATGGGTGGTGATGGGCCGGGGGGGAGGGGGGGAGAGGAGGGGAGGGGTGTTAATAAGCTAACTAGGCTTTAGAACATTACAGCATTAGGAATACATGTTTGTTTTCCTAACAGTATAGTGTTCCTTTATTGAGGATGGTTCTTGTTCATGTGGTCCATCAGTGCTTTGTCAAGCATGTGGTAACTGTGTGAAGAGTGATTTTGCCATAGGGCTTGCAAAAATTAAAGGGAAATGTCGTTTTTCAACAGCTGGGGTTTGCCTTTGACAATCTTGGAGGCAGGGGAGGGCTGGCAGCCTTAGGCCTGGAGGGCAAAACCAGTCAAGTGGCCCATTGCACCACCAAATCAGTTCACCATCCATGCCCACCTTTTCCTGGTTTTATAACGGATATTGATGTTATGCTAATCAGTAGCTCTTTGCCATACCCGCTCCTTCACGGCTCCAGGCACTGCTTGTTGTGAGTGTGAGCCACTGTAAATTAGGGGCAGAGGGCACTTGCACTGCGGTAAAGATGGGGCTGGGCAGGAGGAGAGTGCAGTGCAATCAGTGCACTCCCCTCCTGTGGGTCACCAG